TGACTTACACTGCATCACATTGATCTCCTTCTCCAGAGGCATCCAGAGCCCTGACTTACACTGCATCACCTTGACCTCCCTCCCGAGGGGCATCCAGAGGCCTTTGGTGGGCGCATGGGCCAGGAAGTTCCTGGCGCCCTCATTCCCCGGCTCGTTGGGAATGCAGTCCTCGGGCTTGTCCTCTTCCTCCTACAAAGCCGGTCCTCGGTGCGTCATTTATAAAAAGTTTACATTTTAACAACACATTCACAGGACACGACATGTATTTTCCAGTGATTTTTAAACTATACTTTCAGTTTAAGCATGCATAATATGCAGAGACAATTTTACAAAGTCTATAGAAAGTTTTTATATGATGCCAGGGCTGCCAACTCTCACGCACCTGGCATGACACTCACTCTTTCAGACTCTCATGCTCAAGCAAGAAATCTTGTGGCAAATCTATATTATTCCACTATAAACCTAAAATTAGCCACATGAAAAGCGTTGGGGTAGTTTACAAACCCTACAGACTATTTACAAGGTAATAGAACTGTTACAAATATGTAAATGTGTGTGCATGTGTGTGCAGACTTGTCTCAAACTGAAAACCTCACTCCAGCCAGCTGACAAAAGTTGGCCACCCTGTGATGCTGCTTATGAAATGATGACCATAACTAATTTCCCCAGGTACTTAAAGCACACTGACCTTTATCAGTCCGGGGGGAGGTTTTTCATAGCTGTAAGAAGAAAACAATTGAGTTTAATCAGGCAGGAAGTCTGTTTCTGTTGTACTCGGCTAATAATCATCTTTCTACTACTTGCGGATTATTCGGCCATAGTGGAGTTGGCTCCTTATAAACTACAGCCCATGCTGATAAAGGTTTTACTTTTATGCCATGTAGGTGGGAAATAGTTAGTAGTGGGTCAAAACAATCGCGGAGGACTTAACTAAACAGATAGCAGGGGAAGGGGGGGATAACGGGCCAGTCGGTAATCTTCGCCTTTACTAAACTTAAATAAGGGGAGGTGGCGATCGGAGCACTCACAACGTGTCTACGTGCTTTCTCTCCTGCACCTCCTGGTTCATCTTTTTGCTGTGCACGATCAGCTTCTCCGCCTCGTCTTTGGCCTCCCTGCGTCGCCCGGACTCCCGCCGCTCTTCTCGGCTTCTGGAGGACTTTCTCTCCGACATCGTGAACAATTAATTCCTTTATCACTATTACTATCGAGTATTAAACGGTGCTTTTGGACGGTGAGCAGCAGAATTAGCACTAGCCCTGGCCAACCCACCTTCTACGGTACTTCCTTTCCAGAATCTTATTTTTAAAAATTGACAGCGCCACCTTCCGGCAATTATGAAGCCGAGTTCGGCTCCAGAAGTGAGTAGCTTGATAACTTGACAAATTTCCAATATATTATTAAATATTTAACCTTTTAAGTATTGCTTACTGGGTTTTTAAATCAAAAGGAAGATACATATTTTTTTTCATACCGAACCTGCCATGATTAAATTAAAATAATTCAAAGAGATTTATCCGCTGTCTGCAGTGGCAGTTGGATGAATGTCCTTCGCTTTTGCTTATTCAAATATTCTAAAAATATCTTTACGGCATTAACATGATGAAAGTGTGTACCCTTGCTTTCTGATCGGTATGTTTCTACAGTCCAGTTCATAGCATTAGTTAGTTACATTGACAACTGATGTTAAAATGTGTTGAGTATTTTGGTTCCCAAAATGACACGTAACTTGGATTGTTTGTGTCAGTTTAAGAACAGTTAAACCTGAAACAGTGGCTGTAATACTGGTTTATGACCAATTATGTATATTTATTGCATTGTGTTACACAGCAGTGCAGTTACATCACGAGAAAAATATTTTTCAATAACTTCTTTATTTACATTTAATAGAACTCAAAACACAGCATTTTATTTTGTAATAATTATCTACTCCATAAAGACCAGCATAATGTTATCCACTGCAAATACACGTACTGCAACTGAAAAAGATTGATATAAAATGGGATATTTAAGCTAGAACTCGAGTGCAATAAATAGTCCAGCCAGCCGAAGATACTCCAAAAAGCCTTTTTATAATACGTTTCGTTAAACTCCTGTTATTAAACCCAAGGGAAAAAAAGAGGTAAAACAAACGTGTTACAAAAAGACTAACATAATGGAAAAACAGTGTTTTATTGCAGAAAGCCAAGCCTTTCTGTTTTTAAGACAGAAGAGTTAGTTTACACATTAGAGAAGCCAACATGTAAAGTCAGCATTAGAGGACACGTCCGGTAAAATGCGGACTTTTCGCTTTAACAGGAACCTAAACATCCAGAAAGCGGAACATAAATATCCCTTTACAGGCAACTCATCTTTTCATATTTCCGAATCCCTCCTTTTCTCCGGGAGTGAGACGAGGCGAGATCACCGGAGGTTATTCTGCGGGCTGCCCTCGTAAGACTATCTGATGTTTCTGAGCCTCGGACGTATTAAAAGCGACAGCCGTCTCCATGGCCGGCACCTGGCTGTGAACCCCAGCAGCCCGTCCTTCCTCTCGCAGCTCACAGAGAGGACAGGAAGTCCTTTAGAGTGCCATTTTTGCTCGTCTGAGTGTCTCCCTTGATCAGCAGCTTCCTGAGACGGGAGAAGGAGGACGTGGCACTGCCTTGTTTGGGGGAGATGCCCGATTCGGTGGACGCTGACCTGAGGACAGGAGAGGGATGCATGACAGCACGCTCTGCACCAGAAGCCATCGCTCAATCTCAGAACAGCATAAAACTCCGAACAGACGAGAATAGAGTGCTTACCGCGGCGTCCTGAAGGGGGTGCTCCTGCTGGAGGACTTGAAGAGTTCCGAAGCTGATTTGCTCAGGATCCTAGGGGTCGAACTTGCAGAGCTGTTTTTGCCGGTGCCCTCGGGAGTGCTCTGGCTTTTGGATAAAGACGCTAAAAAGTTTCGCAATGCGCCACCTTTCTTCGACTTCCTGTGGCAGGTGTGACATGTGGCCATCTGACAGGAAACCAGAGAATGAAGGTTAACCAAATGATATACAGCGCTCACACAGTCTTGGGAGGCTTGCTTAATTCTGTAAAAATGTTGCAAATGTATTGGTATCATAACAAAAATCCTATTTAACATATCTGCACTGTTTAACATATATGCACATTTTCTTTTTACTAAGCGTCAGTTTTTTTGACTGACCCAGTTCAAATTCAGTTCTGTTCTTACCATTTTGCTATTAATCGCAATTGTAGTCACTGGCTCCCAAAGGGATACTAAACAGAAATGTTTGGTATTTTATGTTATTGCAAAGTTGTAACTAATTGAAAAGCACCCAGTGAGACTGCTTGTCAATGAATTATTTAACTTAGAGTGACTGTTTTAGAACTATAATTTGGGTTGCAATGTAGGACCACAATGTTTTACTTACTGGTTGTTTTTAATGCAATAGATATACATACACAAAAGACACACACACACACACACACACTAAACAAAAGCAAAATGAATAAAAGTAATGATTATTGTTGTAAAACCAATGAATTTGCAATATTTTAATGGAATTAGGCAGGCGTCCCTGTGAGCGCTGTATATCAATTCTGCATGCAGTCTGCACACTGTTCATGCCTGCAGCACCGATCCCTCCCTAGCCTGGAAAGTTCCGTCTTTCAGAACACAGATCTCCTAGCTACAGCTTAGCATTGAACGCTAATCCCTAACCCAGGAGACTTTACATTGGCCAGAGTGTAATACCAGTCTCCCTTGCAGGTCACTGTCAGCACTCCCTCCATATGCAGACTGAGTTCCCATAGAGAGTGAGGAACTGTCCTAACGACGGCCATATTACTCTGCATAAAGGCTACGGCCAATGATCATGGCCAAGTCTGATATCACATTGAAATTGTGGCAGCTCCACAAAATTTTAAGAGTGATGACACTTCAAAGCATTTGGACTACAATGGAAACCAAAACCTCAGACAAAGGTCAAGTGTGTTAAATACAGACACAACGAGGTTTCAGCGGCACTTAACAAATGGGGCACTTCTGTTCCCAGCATACACACTGTGTGTGTATGTATCTGGCTCTCTCATGATGGAAATTATGTAGACAAAATGGCAAATGACCAAAACACAAATCAGAAAATGCCCACTGCCTGTCCTATAACAGGTGACAAATGACAAAGTGGGGACTCACCGAGACAAAGGTAGTCATGCTGAGATTTCCTGTGAGGCTGCTCAGAAACTGCGCTGAACCAATCACCTGAAGTCAGATTGTGTTTACTACAGCACAGGGTGCGACTGCTTTTATAAAGGCCACGCGGCAGCTCAGGTCAATCAGATGCGAGGGGCGGGACTACGTAAAAACACTGACCAATCACGGCAAGGCCCCGCACAGTAACATATCTGGGGCCTCCCAAGGCAAAATCTAGATCAAATCAAGTTATCAGTTTAAAAGAGTTGACAGAAGTGAATTAAGGGATTCTAGTAGGGATGCCCTTTTTTGGAAATTGGAATTCCCCTCTGCCAGCAACAGTTTTTTTTTTTTTACTGGAAAGTATGATTACTCAGGATTCCTGCCTGGTGTAAGCAATGAGATCAAGATTTTAAAAGCAAACTGAACAGAATAGATCACTGCTGCATCTAGGCTGACATTCCATCCAGACCTGGTATTAAACTAGCATATGCACAAATCATGTTTGTAAGGTAGGAGCGAGACAGAAACCGAGGTTAGATATCGTAAGGCGATATCAGCGAGCTTTCTAACAGGGGCGCTCCGATTTGGAAGGGGTCCATAAACCACATCTAGGGTTCAGAAGAGATACACAAATGCTCCTCTAGAGGAGAAGGTCTAAGGGGGCTCTCCCATTGAGGCAGTCGGTCTTCCAGATACTTGAGAGTAAACATCCCAGCCAGCGATTGTGAGGCCCCATATGCACATGGATGGAGCAATACGCTTAAATTTAGACAGAGAAACGTGGCGTAAATAACGCAGGTGTGAAATTATGACGGCAGCGATGTGAAGCGCGTGGCGAACGCTACAGCTGGCTGCCAGCGAATGGAACACAGCGCCAGCGTGCCAGGCCATGTCCCGGCATCCCGGGACGCTGCCAGCCGTCCAACCCCAGCCAAATCTCGCCGCATCCACATGGCTACAGGAACGGATCGCCACGGACATCAACACAGCCGAGAGTCATAGAAAGCGGCTGCGGGACAGGGATTTGTGACACTTAAGGTACTTTATAAGATGACATCCGAGGATCGACGGGGCCTTGTTGCTCACTACACAGTATCAGTGCGTCCGAGGGTCATCTCAGGGTGAACAGGTGAATCAAATGCACTAAATCATGAAACTTTCTGCAAAAATGGTAGATTCTACAGGTGAGACCGAATGTCGAACCCAAGGGGGAGAAAGCTATTTTTAGACGCCACCCCTATAAATACTGTAACTGCTGTACGCCACGACCAGGCCCACTGGTGACAAGCCAGTGCCATTTGCCAGTGTGACTTTGGTTGTTTCCATGGTGCCCCAGTCTGCCTGATCTATTCTGACCGAGACCAAGCTGGAGTGACAGGACAGAGTGAGCTGGCCGGGGGAAATGCTGTACGCCCCCTGGGGGAGGGGATTATGGTATTGCATCCATCACGTACAGAATATCAAGTAAAAGACCAGTAAAAACCAGCCCTCACGGCAGAGAGGGGCTGGTACAGTGTGGAAACGTGCCACGTCGCGTCATGCAATGCAGTGGAATCTTGAGCGGGTTTTGGACCATTTTAATTCTCACAGGAGGGAGGTGTGTGGCTCAGGGGGTCAGGCCTCTGAGCCTGTGACTGGAACGTCACATGCCGGGATGCAGATGGGAGGGAGGAGGGGGGGATTTGAGGCCCCTGTAATGTCCTGGGCCCCCTGAATCTTCCAGGGTATCCATACCCCTTTGACGACTCTGGTCACATTTCCCCAAATTGCTCTAGGGACTTCAGATACCAAGCTTCACCCTCAGCTGTATATATAAGTGTGTGTTTGTGTGTGTGTGTGAGAGAGAGAGAGAGAGAGAGAGAGATAATGTTGAAGGAGAGCATGATGGGATGTGCCAAAAGAAACTTTCCAGTGTACCTGTGCATATGGCCAATAAAGCTTCACTGACTACAACCTTGTCTCAGCTGCTTCATAGGGCTACTGGGGCGGCTTCCCGCAAGCCCCCCGCAAGCACTCAGTCTGAACAGGCAGGTCCTGGCACAGCAGGGTGAGGGACATGGATAAAAATACAGCAGCAACAGGCACCTTACATTGTGCAAGTAGCTAAAATAAGTGACCTAGTTTAAAAACAAAAACACAACTTTCTCGTAGCTAAAGCAAACAATAGACCAGCTGGAGGTAAACAAGACAATGTGGTGCTTAGAATAATTTAGCGATAACAGGCCAAATCCCAAACGCGCAGGCAGTGGCCTCATCAGAATTCCCGACAAGCCGAAACCGGAGCTCTGTTAAAGCCCGGTGCCTTCCCCCCGATCCATGGCACTCAAGCATTTCGCTCAGAAGTATCGCCCCCTGCTGGGTATCACCATATCAGAGGAGGAAGGTGCGAGTGACCAGAGGAGATTATCATGAATCTACATTTTACATCACCCAGCCAGCAATCGTTCTCGGAGCGACACTGACGGCGCCGGCCCTCACCAGCATGCTCCGGGAACCATGGAACTTCCGCAGGACCCTCGTCTGCTCCAGGTTCAAATGGCGCCGTGACGCCTCTCTTCTCAGGAGCTGCTGCACCCGGCGTGAGGCCTTTCGCTTTGGCCTGACCCTCACGTGGTGGTTGTCCGGCTGGCGCCACTGGGAGCAGAATGGGCAGACTGACTCCTCCGGGAAGCTCCCACCTGGTACAAAGAGGGCAAAAGAGCGGGTCAAACAGAGGGTGCAAATGGATGTGGGCAAAGCAAACACAGGCAAACAAGGGTGAAACAAAAGTGGGCAAACAAAAAGTGGGCAAACGAGAATGCAGACAAGAGAGGTGAAACAAACGCTGGCAAAGGAGGGTGAAACAAACAGGGACAAACAGCATGTGAGATACTGATCACTGAATGTGTAAAATGGTACTGCATGGCGAGGCCTCGAGCCACATGCTGGGGACATGGCTGCCCCACGTCAGCGAGTTCGGAGTCAATCGAACATCATTCACAGACGTTAAAACGGAGCCGTGTTTGGGCAGGAGGGGCCGCAGCGGTGGCTGGCATCACTCCAGAGAATCTGCCCAGAGAGTGCAGACCCAGGGGATGTTTACGCGGAGCACTGCAGAGACCTGGGGAGGGGATTCCACCCCCAAGGTCATCAGCCAGGAACAAGCAGCACAGCTTCAGCTGAGAGACATTAAGGAATAATAATAATAACATTAACAATAAGGAAGATTTCACTTACCCGATAGAGACTGAAACTTTCTCCTGAAATCAGACAGAAACAAATGTTAACATTCGCACATTTTGATATAACAGCATTATTTTCTGTCTTCCAACTGATTGTCTCAGTCAGGGTCACATGGGGTCCTGGACCATATTCCAGGCAGCGTTGGGGACAAGGAAGAGGGCACCATGCATGGGATGCCAGTATATCCTAGGGTGTTAACATACACACATATACGCACACACAATGGGCAATTTACAGACACCAGTTAGCCTAGGGAAAAACCAGAGGTAGCCCAGATAAAATGGAGAGAACATACAAACTGCACACACAGAGAAGAGGGGGCATTCAAACCCCCAAAGCAGAAGGAGCGAAATGCTATTTTTTAATCAGTTTAATTTCCTTCGGTATCAGCGAGTATGTGTGATCCCTTCCTAATTAAACCCTAAATCATGGCTTCTGACAAGGTGAGGAGAGGACAGCAAGGTCACATACGGTGCCCTGCCCCCCCCCACCGTCTCGCACCATGTTCGAGCGTCTCGCACCTCCTGCCGACCTGACCCGGCATGTGGGGTAGGGTGGGGTCACGGGAGGAACTAGGTCAATGCCTGACTCCCTGACGGCTGGGCGGGAAGGCCGATCAGCCAGCTGGAGCAAGGTGAGCTTATGCTGTGTTCCATTTGAACTCGGAACTCGGAAATTCCAAGTTCCAGGTCGGAAATTTTTAAATGGTGCGCACGCTGAAGTCAGAATCCCTCCTCGGAAAGTCGGAGGAATCTACACAACCTCAGAATTCAAGATGGCTGCACCCTTTACCAACATAAGTTAAAGCTGCGGTTTTATACCATTAATTAGCACTTACGTGTTATTTGTGGCTCATTAAACTAGTGACACAGTACTGTCCAACCTCTATCTGTGGATGTATTGCTATGGTGTTTTTATGTGCAAAATACCAACTGATACTGCTATTGCTAACAATGGTTAACAATTAACTGGGCTAGAACTGGGGCCTGATTCAGAAAGGAGGATTTCTTGCTTAGCCAGATAACTTGTCGGGATTAAGGTATTCTGGTTTAAATATAAGTGAACAAAGGTAAAGGCCATTTAAACTGAACTAAATTAAGTCTGACAAGTTATCCCGCTCTGCAAGAAATCCTGCTGTTTGAAACAGGTGCCTGGTATTGTTAAATGGCTTTCCGACTTGCTGTACTGGAACGCGGTTAACTTGGTTGTGACATCATTCCCAGCTCCGACTTCCAACCTCCGAGATAAATGGAACGCAGCATCAGGCCGCGGAAATCAGCTCGAGCCACGAATCTGGAGCGGCAAGGAAGGACGGCAACAGCAAGCGGCTCGCGCAGAAACGACACAGTCCAGCAAGAGCAAGACCGGCCGCTTCACCTTCCACGTGATCAGTATTCTCAGCACAGAGGCAGAAGGTGTTATGTTTGAAACCCATAGGGGTTTATTTCTGCCTTTGTTCTAAAAGCAGTGGGTTCTTCGGAAGTGG